GAACATGCAATGTGTGTCTCTGTGCAAGAGAGAGAGAGAGAGAGAGAGAGAGAGAGAGAGAGAGAGAGAGAGAGAGAGAGAGAGAGATGTCACTATGTGCGATGGTTCGCTTGCAATTGACATGGAGGAGGATAAGGAGAGCAATGGGAGGGCGTACTCTCACTAGGCCGTCAATCAACCATGAGAGAGAGAGAGAGAAGGGAGGAAGGACGGACTAGGAGCGGGGAGGATGGAGGGGAAGAGGAAGAATACAGAGGATGCAGGGATGACACTGGCGAGAATGGTAGAGCAGGAGGTCCGAGGATACAGGGATTGTGACGATCATCATGATGTTCCGAGGATGCAGAGATGATGTGGGCGAGACTAACAGAGGGAAGAGAAGGGGAGCAAGATGATCGTGCCTGCGGTTGACGATCATGGCGATGAACAGTATAGTAATGATAATGATAATGATGGTAATCATCACCTGTGCGAGGGGGAAGGGGCGGGCAGGGGGGGAGAGAGAGAGAGAGAGAGAGAGAGAGGCAAAAAGGGGGCGATTGGTGCGAAACAGGGCGTCGCTCTGCTACTCACCACATGCACAAAAGACAAAATATGGGGGCCTAGACACACACACACACACACACACACACACACACACACACACACACACACACACACACACACACACACAGAGAGGGAGGGTACCAAACAGCACCTCGAAAAAAACAAAAACCTGGCAACATTCTACGGCGATCTCCTCCCTCTCCTTCCCCCCCCACTGCTGCGGCAGGTCCACTTGTTACTATTAAAGCAAATAGCGGGTCTTGTGTGCGCGTAACAGTTCCCACGCGAGACCCTTTTCCCACCTGGGCCCAGTGGGCCATGCCGGGGAAGGCCAGCTGTGGAGAGGAGTCCGCAATTTTTTTTTGCCATGCACTCGGCTGCACGTTCGAGTGGCTGTTGGGAGTCCACAATTTTGTTTTGGTCTCGCATTTGAATCTGTGCAGTTGCTGGGAGGAGTCTGCAATATTGTTTCTCGTTTTCGTTTTTTTTTTTTGTGTGTGCATCGTTTCGTGGCGGGCCTCGGTTGTTTTCTTATAGTTCCGTGACTGCTCAATTTTGTCTCTTGGCCGGCCAGAGCAGCATCACGTACACAGTAAAGCCGTGCTAAACGAGAACGGATTTTCTGCTAGAACATAGAATGATTCACCACCATAATTTTTGCCTTTTCTGCATGTGATGCGTACTGTGATGTTGGGGCGCACTAGGACTTCTTGGACTCACCCCTCAACGTTATTGCGCCCACATGCGTCTAGTTGTAGGCAGAATAGTGTGAAATCGCCTGTTCTTTTTTCGTTTTCTTGACAAAGGCAACGACCGGCCCCATCTGGATTCAGAACGATTTCAGTAATCTGGATTCGGCTACAGCCGTTGGTTCTCTTCGTTCTTCTTTTTATGGGTGCATCTGGATTCGAACTTGGGCCTGTGTTTCAAAAGTTCATGGGTGGATCAGCTGAGCCCGGGCCGTTGTTTCTTTTTGTTTCTCCTTTCTTTTTTTTGAGGGGGGGGAGGGGGAAGGCGTGTGTTTGGACCTCGCCTTATAGCCCGGGGGCTCAGTGCCCCTGGGGGCAGGGGTTTGTCTTTGTTTTGAGTGAGAGTCCATGTGGCCACTGTCCGGCCAAGAGATGTCAGATCGGATGGCAGGAAACGGTGCATACTCAAAACTGGGTCTGAACCCATCCTGGCACGACTTGGGCTGGGGTCTGTCTATGTGTGCGGTTTTTTTTGTGGGGATGGGTCTGTTTTGGTTAGCATGATCGGGGCGACGAGCAGAAGGTGTACACAGCAGGCATAGCCTGTGGCAGGCATCCGCTTGTAATCTATATATAAATATGTAGCCCTGTCATAACCTATAACCTATAGAACCTATAGCCCTTGCCAAAGCTTGATCAATGCATGTCATCCTTCTTGCAAAAGCCTGATTTGTACACGTCACCCTTGCAGAGGGCCCTATCGTAATCTGTAGAGTTTATAGAACTTGCCAAAGTTCAATTTGTGTATGCCATCCTCCCACAGAGGTCACAGAGATATCAGAATTTGGTGTGCCCCTTAATCCTTGTCCGATTGAGGAGAAGAAAAAATCGCAAAGAGCAGTCAACTGCAAGTCCCTGACCTATTCCCACTTCACCGAGCACTCGAAAGAGCCTTCACAAACTTCAAGCCTCAAGCAAGCATCACCTGAATGTCCAGTCACACATTTACAGTGCGGTCTCAAACAAAACCCTTGGACCTTGGTCATTCTGGTCTGAGATAGCTAAGCATGAAGGTACTTGACTTTCTGGACCAGGTTCACGCACCTGCAAGGCCCTGACCTATTCCGACCTCACCGAGGGGCCAACAGAGCCTTCGCAAACTTCGAGCCTCAAGCAAGCATCACCTGAATGTCAAGTCACACATCTACAGTGTGGTCTCGAACAAACCCTCAGGACCTTGGTAATCTTAGTCTGAGACAGCTGAGCATGAAGGTACTTCACTTTCGGGACCAGGGTCATGCCCAGGGAAACATACTAAGCCGGCATGGAGAAGCATCCAATGCTGTCTTTCTCGTGTCCGCAATGCATAGCCATAGCACTCGCACTGCGCTGAAGGTTGGTCTCCTTGGATGTACCTGACAGCGTTTCTGGCCAGATTCACTCCAAAGAATAATTGTGAGAGTGATTCCCCATCCCCCTTTCCTCCACCTGAAATGCATACAGGGAAAGACGTAACCGTTCCGGAACCTCAAGCCATACTCACACTAGCACTTTCCTAAACACATCTGACTTGAATTCCGGCTAGATCTGGATGCATCTGACAGTTATCACACCCAGAGCTCAGCCAAAAAAGTCCTAGTGTCAGGATGCCCAGTAACCTCTTTTGGACCCAAATCTCATTCCATTATGTATTACCCAAATCTCACTCCATTATGTATTCTCTACTGTGCCGGGTTTTTTTCCCCTTTTTTCTCACTGTGCTGTAATCATGAACTTGATCAAAGAAATAGATTGTTTTTTTTTTTTTGTTGTTGTTAATTTTAAAATTTTAACCTGAGTACGGATCCGGGCCGCCCGGCCGACCGGCGCCCGCCCGGGGGAAGTCCCGGGCGGCCTGGCTGGGTGGGCGGCCCCGTTGGGGGCCGGGCACCCCCAGCACACCTTGTTGGCAGGGGGGTTCCGACCCCACATCGGGTGGTTTTGGCCTCCCCAGGGCCTACCGGGTCCGACCATGCCGAGAAAACGGCGCGTCGGGCCTGTGAGGCCTGTTTTTTGTTTTTTTTTTTGGGACGGCCCTCTGGCCGTCGATCCATGATCGACGGCCAGAGGGCCGTTCGTTTTTGGAGGGAAACGGAGGCCCCGTTTGAACTAGCGACAGGCTGGGG